ATATATATATATATATATATATATATATATATATATATACACACACACACACACATATATCTGTAAAAAAGTATACAGCTGATAATTATTATCTTAAATTTTGATGATTTAGAGGAACTTTAAAGTTTTATAGTATCTCCTAATATTAAGAACAGTAAATGACATAGAGAATGAATTGAAGGTAAATTGACCTTATTATCATAAAACCTAACTCATAATTTTTAAAAATATTAGTGAACTTATTTACATACTCCTGTTACTCCTGTTTATAAGAAGAAGTTTGCAGACAATTATTCTGATTGAGCTTCAGGTTTTGGTTCTACACTAACTAGTTCTTTATAGTAAATATTTTCTATTTTATATGGAACCGTTTAAGTGTATGGGAAATGACAGCATCAGTAAGAAGATTTTTGGTTTCTCTGTTGAGCTTCATCTTCTTACTTATTTATTTTTTTTTATAGACATGCCTCACTAGTGAAATTCAGTAATTCTCAGAACAGTAAAATATTGTATATCATATCTGTGAATTCTATTTTCAAACAATGCAAAATAATAATGAGAGATGGTTTTCAGATTATCAGAACACCTGGCCATTGACAGAGCTTAATTTATATTTATTGAGAGTAGATCTGAATCTTGGAATCTTACAGTGGAAGGTTTACCTAGACAAAGTCTTCATATAGGTGAGAAAATTTGAGGCCCAGGAAGCTTAAGTCAACCTCATATCCAACACTGCTATACATATATTTATACATATACATATACATATACTTATACATATACATATATACATTCATATATATATTCTAACTTATATAATTTAAATATGTATATATCTCAAATCATAATGTATATTTGTGAAAAGAGTTCAGTTATTTTATTAGTGATAAATGTTTAAATGCTCAATAGTTTTTGGAGTATCTTTTGTTACTAAAATTTATCCCATTGAAATGACAGCTTGAAATGTAAAAATCCTGTGCCAATTTATAATTCTCATGTTTTGTATTTAAATAGCTCTTGGAGAAGGTCCATACATGCTGGCAAGTTACGGGCAGACTGGCCTTGTTCTGGGGGTCAATCTAACCAGTAGAAGCACTCTCTCACTGCCAAGAACTAATGCTCCTGGTGATTTATTTTTTAATTTTATGATCACTCCAGGTCTTTTCAAAGAGAAGCCATCATGTAAGTATAATTTCCAATTGAAAATAAGATTTTAGTTTTCCATTTATATTTTTTCCATTTATTCATTCACTAAATATTAATTTGGGATCTAATATGTTTATGGCATTTTTCTAGGTGCCCTAGAGGATGTAAAATAAGATACTGGTACATGAAGCAGCTATTTCTTTTATATATACAATCATTTTTTTATCTATCTATCTATCTATCTAAGAATTGTAATTGTTTGATTGAGTGTTTGGTCCTAAATAAAGCACAGCTCAAATTTTCATAGTATTAATCACAGAACTTAATTTTAAATTTTTGAAAAATTGTTCACTAATAACTAACATTTGAAGGATTGTAATACTAGATTAAAGTAAAAGAAAAAAATTATGATTTGATATCATAATTTGATATCAAATAAAGCTGTTAGTAGTAAGAGCATAAATCAGAGTCAAGGCCATCATTCAGACAGTCTGTTACCCTTACTCGGCCTTGTGTGTCTTGGTACCTGGCTCCACATTTACTGGTTTGCGCCTGCATATCTATACTGGTTGTATCTACTTGGCATCTGTTCTAACTGGTGATTATTGTCCTCTTTTGATCTATGATGCTCAGGCTACACTGTTACTGTACTAGCCCTACTTGGACCATGAATGGTGTGTTGTATATGCTTAGGAAACATTTATTGAATGAATAAATCCAACTTTCACTTATTCTGAGAAATCTCCTGATTCTCCAGTTAGAATAAATTGCTTCTTTCTTATAAAAAGAGCTCTTTAGTTCTTTTTAATCTATGAAAACATCTATCACAGTCTGAAGTTCTAATTTATATGTTAGTCATATATTTCTTTTATTTTTATTTGTATTTTCCAGTGCTCAACAGAGATACTTGCAAAGTTTAGGACACAATAAATGTCTTTGGAATCATATATTGACTTTGAGAAAACTTTTCATTGAATGATTTGCAATAACTAATGTTTTTTTAAATTTGGGAATTGGGGAAAGGGAACACAGTTGGGGAATTGGGGAGGGGCCCGGCCAAATTGTTGTTCTTCAATCTTAGTTGTGGAGGGTGCCAGTTGCCATCTGGCTGCCCATTAGCAGCTTGTGGCCTCTAAGCTCAAGGTGCTGTGTTACAATCTTAGTCTGCAGCTCATGGCCTCTAAGTCCAACATGCTGTGTTCCACTCTTAGTTGCAGGTGGGCATAGCCACCATCCCATGTGGGAGTCAAACTGGCAGCCTTGTTAAGAGCATGCGCTCTATCCCTTGAGCCACCCAGGCTCAGCTCATGGTGCCACGTTCATTCTTAGTTGTGGGCAAGCGTAGCCCACCATTGAACAGGCAGTCTTGTTGTTAAGAGCACATGCTCTCACCAGCTGAGCCATCCTGCCACCTGTTGGCAGCTCAGCAACAGCTCAACTCAGGCGCAGGATCACTGGCCCATGTGGGAATCAAACCGGCAGCCCTGTTGCTCAGAGCTTACACTCTTAAGCTAACTGTTAACCAACTGAGCCACTCGGCTGACCCAGTAACTGGTTTTTTCAATAGAACAATCCTAGTGGATTTAAATTAAGAAATTAAGACTCCTTATATGATATATGATTTGCAAATATCATCTCACATTCTATATAGGTTGCCTAAAGAAATTAACGTCTAAGAAATGAAATGTAAAAGCTTAATTAAAGGATGTTTATATCATGGATTTTGCAAATATATGGGAAACTTTTAAAGCATATAACAAGAAAGGATGATACTACTGAAATGCTTTGTAGTTGTCCATTAGTCATTTGATTATCTATTCAGGAATAGAGAATAATATTGAACAAATAGTCTTTTCTTAATGCAGTAAAATCACTTTTAAGAACATTTGCTTATTAAGAACCCAGTGATATTGAAATGCAGTGACATGCCTAAATTGATTTGTTTCTCTATTCTCTTATTCTTTCCTATTGTCCAATTTAGCCATTTGTAGATTTCATGCATTTGAAAATGTTAAAGCTTACAAGTACAAATATGTGTCCAATTAATCATTTGATTACTTGTGTGATATTGTACATTCTGGGATCCTAAGTTGATATATCTTCTCCCCCCCCCCAAATACATGATAAATTATTTAAAAAATAGGACTCATCAAAGACTGATTTTTTTTTTGAGCTCTCACTATTAGTCAATGTATTAAAATACTATTTCTTTTAGAGATCTTATAATTACTTTCTGAAATCTTTCAGATTTAAATTAATTAGTATGGCAATTGTATACTTCTATTTTTGTCAACTTCATAATACATTTTATAATGGCAGTATTGATGATCTGCTTTCTCCGGAGAACCCAAGGAGGTGTCAAGCACACTGTTCTATGTTTTACAGCATTGGCACTTGTTTCCTTGGAATCTGCTGAAAGGCCAAACTACTTCCTCTTTGCCCATGACGATGACTCTCTTAGTTTGAAACAATGGCAGGCGAATTCAGCCTTTCATCAGAAAGCCACATTTTTCCACCATCAGAGCCTCTGGATTTCTGGTTACAGTGCTTTTGAGTTATACAGCAAGAAAGGCTTTTTCATCACACTCACAAATTTGTTTGTCAAAGTATCAAAATATGATGATTCGGAAGAATTTAAACAGTCAAGTAGCTTCAGCATAGAAGGTATGTTTCCTGAGTCTTCAAAAGGAGAATAAACAGATAATTGACATAATGACAGGATATCTATCAAGTTTTACTTTTTAAATCATTCTTAATGAAGTTTAAGTAGACAGAGTTATATGACCTTGGGTAAATTTGTTAACCTCTCTGTCCCTCTGTTTATGCATCTCTAAAATGGAAGAAATAATACTACCTGCTTTATAGGGTTATTGTATACATTAATTACTAAATTGCTTAGAACAGTCTTAAATAATGCTATTTTAAATTATTGACTAATTATTACTGTCAATACTGTGTGAACTTTGGAAATAGAGCTGACCCATGTCTCATGGTAGCTAGTGTTTGTACCTACTTTTTGTTTCCTAGAAGACAACTTCTCAATAACCTGATTCTCAATGATAAAGGCAACATGTTTATCTGTCTTTCCAATAGTAGGGTGTCTGGCTCTACTGACCTCTGGAAGATTTCCATGGTTGAGCAGAGACCTGGTCTTATTTCTAGAGATCCTTATAGTTCTATAACTTGAGTTATCTGAATTTCAGAGAGGAATCCTCACTGCCTCATCCAATGTGTAAAAATTCATACTTTATTTTCAAAACCTGGGAGCTTAATATCTGTCTTGGGTCTCCCAAATAAATTGTTTCATTCTAATCAGCCCTTCTCAATCAGCCTAAGAGAACTAATCATTTGCCTTTTCTGTTGTGGATAAATTTCTACAAACTGTGGTAGTCTGGATTTTAGATAATTCAAGTCAAATTTTAAATTTTTGTCTATTAAAAAAGGTTTCTATACTCATGAGAAAAAGAGCCACCGACATGTCTGTACAACATTGTATAGAGTGAATATGATATTTTTACTTGAATTTACTCAAAAATTTAACTTTACAAGCCTATATTTCCCCTCCAATCTAGAAATCTGTTCCATTAGAACCAGATTCATCAGCTCCACCTGAGCTATGGACAACTGCAGCCAATAGCATCATAAAAATCTCAGAAACTGATCTTTGTGGGCTTTCTAAACCTAAGAAATTCTAGGGGTCTACTCTAGCCTTGGAACCAACCCTCTCCCAGAACCAACAATCCCAGTAACCTAGGTCTAACAGTCACTATAATCTTTACATGCATAGATGCCTTCCAAAAGGTCTTATTTTCCTTTCCATATCTTGGAATTGAATTCTGTGTTGAGAGTCCAAGAAACACAACCTGTTGCCTGAACTTTTTCTCCTATGGAACTCTCCAGAGATAATTTTGTGCTGCTGCAGAATGACTGGTCTATGAAATAGGGAATGGAGAGTATTAGCAGAATTTTCAGGAGAAAAATATTGCATCAAGGAATGTTTGGTAACTATAAGCATGGATTATTAAAATCCATTCATGTTTTGGGTCATGAGTTAATACGATGTACAAGGTAATGTGCTAAGTTCTGTGAGAAGAACAAAGATGGGATGTCCTCTTTAGGTTTGATGTCAGGCAACATATCTTTGGTCTTGCCATTTTCCTAATTGTTTGAACTTGGCAGGTCACTTGGCTCCTTTGAGCCTCAATTTCTTCATTTATAAGGTGGAAATAATGCTTATTCTGTAAGGTCTTTAGAAGGATAAAATATAATAATGGGAAAATTACTTTGCAAAAAATAAAATTCCAAACATGTGTTTCATATTATCATGATATGTAGATCAATGAGAACCCACTAAACATAAAGAAAAGAAGATTTACAATTTTCCTTGGTCTCTTTCAACCTCTTGATTTTTTAAATATTTGGAAAATAGACTAACATTTAGATATTCAACTTAAGCATGAAATGCTTTACTCACCACGAAATTTAGTGTTTCCCCCCCCCCAACCTGTCTTTTTCACAGCATTTGGTCAAAGAAGGGTCAGTCCCTAGAAAGGTTACTATGATAAATCATTATTTTTCACGCTGTACATAAAAAACATCCACAACCTAAACTTTTTTTTTTTTCACTAGAAATCCAGGTAGCGATACCTTACAGGAGGATGTGTGAATGGAAATACGAACCTTGTGCCACTCCCTGTTTTAGAACCTGTAGTGACCCTGAAGCACTAGCATGTACATTTCTTCCACCGTAAGTCATGTTTAGCCATTAAATAAACAAATGCCAGCATTAGTAGATTCTGATCTCAATGATTTTTTTTTAGATTTGAAAAAAACATTCTTAAGAATAATTTGTATGTGCTGTATACTCATTCATGAATTTGTTTTCTGTTATTCAAGCAATAGTTATTAAGGGTCTGCTATGTGCCAGGAATGCTTCTAGCTGCTAGAGATATGGTACTGAATGAAATAGATGAAGGTATCTGCCCTTATATAGGTTAAATTTGATTGAGGTGAAGCAGAGAATAAACAAAGAAAAATGTAGATATATAATGTAATATATTGTTAGATGGTGCTGTGTGTTACGGAGAAAAATAAAGGAAGGTAAGGGAGACAGGGAGTATAAGGTGTGTGTGTGTGTGTGTGTGTTTGCCACATAGGATGGTCAGGGAAGAACGTGCTGACAAGGTGGCATCTACTCAGAGATCTGAAGAAAGTGAGGGGACTGACCATGCAGATATCTGGGGAAGGAACTTTTCAGTCTGAGAAGAGTGCAAAAGTCCTGGAGTGGAAATGCATTTGAGGATGAACAAGGAGTCAAGCTAGTTGGAGCAAAGTGAACAAAATGGAAGGAGTTAGGAGGTGAGACCAGATAATCACAGTAGTGAGCAAATAATATAGAGCCTTGAAGCCAGTTGTGAGGCTACAGGGCATTTCTCTGAGTAATGCCCTGGTGCATTTTGGGCAGAGTATGGTTTTAAAAGTTCGCTTTGGCTGTTGTACTGAGAATGGGCTGTTGGGGGGTCGGGAAGGGCAAGGAAGGGCAGAACTGGAGGTCCGTGGTACAGACAAGAATGAAGGGGAAGTGGTCCTGCAGGCTATGAGAAATGAACAGATTCTGAATATAGGTATTAAACTTAGGGCCATATGATATGCTGATGGATTTAATATCAAATATGAGGCAAAGAGGAGTTAAGGACTCAAGTTTTGGTTTCAGCAGTGTTTAGGTGGAATCATATGAAATTGCCATTTTTGTAACCAAAACTGGCCAAAAAGCAGCAAGTTCAAATGATTCAATTGAATGGAAGGCTGAGTTGCCATTTACTGAGGCAAGGAAATGTTAGGAAGAGCTCTTGGAAGAAAAGTCAGGAATTTGGTTTTGAGGACTGTAAATTGGAGACTGAAATTCTTCATTGGATTTGGCAATCTGGGCAATAGGAAGAGGCAAAATGGAGACAAAGTGTGAACATTTTTTGTTTTTAAGGAGTATTGCTGTAAAGGAAAACGGCGATATGGATCAACAGTAGGAGGGGATATTTTCCAAAGAATCATTTTACATTAGGCATTTATGAACTTCTATTCTGTGACAAAATCGACACTACAAAAGTCCTAGGCATATGAATGAATGAGACGTAGCCCCTCTTTCAAGGAGCTGAGTCTTTTGGAAGGTGACAGAAATAAAAGCAGATAATGACAAAACAGTGGAAAGAGGGCTAGAAGAATGACGACAACTAGCACATTTAAATATTTACAGCATGAGGCACACTGTGCTCAATGCTGTAAAATGGGTCATCTCATTATTTCCATTTTTTATAGGAAAAAAATCCACTGAGACACAAAGAAGTTAAACAATTGGTCCTAGGACACACAGTTTGTAGGCAGCCAGGGTTTGAACCACTACACTGTTGAGAATCAAGTATTATGGGAACTGAGAGAAGGAAATGATATTTCTGTTTATTTTCTTAAATAGAAAAACATCCTTCTTTTTTTTTTTTTTTTTTTTTTGAAAGGAGTTGTCTTCATTCACTGGGACTTCTCACATTCACAAACTTATTCCCTGCCTCTCCTGGTAGCCATCAATGGGAGGGGAAACAAGTGGGGCTCCACAGTGAGGAGTGTACCAGGAGAAGGAAAGAAGGGAGGAAGGAAGGAAGAAAGGAAGGGAGAGAAGGAGGGAGGGAAGGAGGATAGGACATCGCTGGCCCTGCACTGGGGAGAAAACAGAGCTATATATTTTGAAGTGACATTTGGCTGGTGTGTTACTTCTTGTGCCATAACCAGTCTCCGAAGTGTTTGAACCCAGATCCTCGGTGCTTCCACTGTTTGGTCTGCAGCTATCCTGAAGTTTCTTTTTTGGTATGGTTACGGTGCAGAGAAGAGACTCAGGATGAAACTTCACTCCTAATGAGCTTTTTCTCTCACCTCTGTCTTCATCTCTATCTCTACCTCTCCATTCCCCACACTGACGCACTTCATTATTGCTCATCCTTGTACTTGAAGCCCTAAGGGGAGACTCAAGTACTGAGCTGGGGCTTTAACCTAGCTCTGCACCCCTCCTCCTAGTCCCCAATAAAACCACCAATGCTGTTCTCTTGATAATTGCAGTTTTCAGCTCATAGCAAGTGTTGAAAATAAAAATATCTGGTGGAAATGAGAACTTTTATACCACAGAGCCCGTATGTATATACAGTTATTCTTATTATGTACCAGTTAAAAGAGCTGCTCTGCATCTAGATATTCTATTTGTTAGTCAGAAGTTGAGTAGATTACTAATTATATGACAAAATAAACAGGAACATGTTATGAAGGCATTTTAAAGGAATAAGTTACCGGTTTTTGGAAAATAAGAATATGGCTATGGTTTTGACTTGCATAAATCAATTGAAAAATTGAATTGCATAAAAAAGGTGTTTATTTAATTTAATGATACCCAACTGACCCTAGTCTTTTCAGCAATCTGGTAACTTTAGTTTTTCTTTATGGCGTGACAAAGTTTAGAGTTGACTAGGGATGTCATATACTGGTTAAAATTTTATTATCACGTGCACTTTGTGAAATAAACAACTGGTCATATAAGTTCAACTGTTTGTTTTTAAAATTTATGTGTGAAAGAGGTACCCAAGAGATGGCTGAATGTGTCTCCTGTTCAAAGAGAAATTCACTTTTCTTGATTTTTAGTGTTTTCTGGATTTCCTTCCATGAGCAAGCGCCCTCTGGCGGCAACACTTACTCCCAGTCTCAAGTTTGTTCATTTCCATCCTGAATTTGAAAGAGGCCTTGAGTATTTTTGGTTTAAATTCTTTGCTTTACAAATAAGGCGATTGGGAATATTTTAAAATATTAAAAATATTACTGCAACCTTCCAGTGTACTTGAGATGCAGATAAACAAGGCTTCTATAACAATATTTGCATTCATTCTTAGTATGTATGAATCTACTAATTGATTATACAAGGAGGATTACATGTATTTCATTGGAATCAGAATAAATTGACCTCGGATTGTATGTCAACTATAAGTGAATATATATATATATATATATATATATATATATACATATATATATATATATATATATAGTCATGGGACGTGGAGTATAGTGTGGGAGTGGAGTGTCAAGGGAATTGTAATAGATATGTATGATATTGGGGGGAAGTGGGGCAGCGGACTGGGGGAGGGGGATTGTCACTTTGAGGGGTAAAAAGTATAACTATTGCACTGTGTTGTACAGCTGAAACTAATTCTAAAAAATGTGTATTTCATAATAAAAAATAATTTAAAAAATAATAAAGCAGGAAATGCTAAATTGAACTCGGAGCCCCAGTAAGATGAGATGAAACATATAATCTCAGTCATTACCTTGACTTTATTCCCTTAGAGAAACTGTGTTTAGCCCATGATGCCCAAGCCCATGACTTTCTGAAATTTGACCCCTTACCATGCACAAAAACTGGGGATCCTTACAAAGACTGGACATCCTGGGGCTTGAAATTTGGTCCCCTTAGGCTCATATATAACCATCTCCTTCCAGGGCACACTGATACAAATTTGGGCACAGGCCTTGATGCCCTTGAGAACTGCAGCCTCTGTCTCCCTCCTCTCCTTGTTTTCAAAGGACTGCAGCCATGTCCCACCTCCATGCCTTCCACCCAGAGATTCTTGATATCTTTTCAATGAATGTAGGGCATAATAATAGGCAAGGCAAGCCCCCGATTTCTGTTTCTGTTCTACCAACATCTCCAGGCAAGGATATTCAAAGAGTATGTCTCTCTGCTTGGATGTGGGGAGTGAGGGGCAGTATGGGAATGGAAAGTAACAGTTCAATGAATATAGATTAAAATCACAAAAAATGACTCTTCTGCATTTCTACTGATTTATTAGAACACGGTCTTAATGTGTCCCAAACATAAGTGTATACAGTAATACCTTGGTTTGTGAGCATAATTTGTTCCGGAAACAAACTACTTGTATTGAAAGACATCGCTCACTTAACAAGTTAAAATGTACTAGAAATGTTTGCTCATCTTGTGGAACACTCGCAAACCAAGTTACTTGCAATCCAAGGTTTTACTGTATTTTGAATGTTTTGTGTTCAAATCCTGCCTTAGTCATGAATGATATTCCTTTATGATCCACTAGCTTGTGATTTCATAAAATGAGGTATGATGGAGTGGTAGCAAATAGAGCACTCCTTAATGCTTGACAAGGAAAATAGAATAATTTTGAGAAAAATGTAACTGGTTTCATATGTATTAAATGCAGTTTTAAAAATATTTTAAACTTTTTTCTTTTTCTTTTTCATGTGAAGGGTTGAAGGATGCTTGCCCTACTGCCCTAAGCATATGGTCCTTGATGAGATCACCCTCAGATGTGTTTATCCAGGAGACTGTAAGTGTGAACCTTACTTAATTTATTCTGAAAAATGAAACACTTGAATATTTTTTTCCCTGTATGTTGGCCAGTGGTTGTAAACAGAAGTCTTAGACAGACAATACACTTTCATTCAAATTCTTCTTCAATATACCTTCCACTGTTTTCTGTTTCTAATTACTTTTTAAAGCATGTAAGCCTTCCCTCTAACATTTCCCCTGTGCTCTCTCTCCCAAAACATTTTCCTTGAAGCTAAAGATCCTTATATGAACTATGTGGGTCTCACTTTGAGCAAAACAGATTAAGGAAGAGTATCTTTGTTTCTTTGTAGGCATACCTCTGATTCCCATAGAACCTGAAGGTAAGCCACCGTTATCTGTATTTACAAGTATTGTTACAATTGTAGACACCAAAATTAGCATTATGTAATTTACATCTCAGCACACTTAGAACAACTGTTGGTGTTAGCACTATCCCAACGACCCGGAAAACCTAGCTGTCACTTTTGTTTTGCTAAGTAGCTGTTCATTAGGTCGTCGTGCCTCAACTTCAAAATGGCTTCTGTATTTGGTCTGCCTCTTTCTTTTTTTCAGCTAGTAAAGATTCCCTCACACTTTTGCTTAGAATTTAGGTTTTACTAAATCCTGCTTAAATTTTCACAGTGATGAAGTTGACTCTAAAGAGATCTGAATGCAAATGAAGTCATCCTCTAAGGGCTCTCATTCCGGCTCCTGCGTTCAGCCTCAGCCTCTGCAGGAGGAATTCTAGGCTCTCATCCTGGCTTCTCTCCCTCGCTATGAAACTTGCCTCAGGAAGGGATTCTATAAACTGATTTACAGTGAGGCTGGACAAACAGAATGTATTATTTCACCTGGGATTATAATTTAGAACAGCTCAGATATTTATTCTTTAGTTTACTTGACAAGCTTTAATTGTCAGCTCTGTCAGGCACTGTCCTGGCAATGAAGGGAGGAAGGGAGAAAGGAGATGAAAGGGCAGCCTCTGCCCTAAAACAGTTATCAGTCCACAGGCTACTGTGAGATTATGATAGAGGTTAGCACAAGCAGGAAGCAGGAGGGGTCTTATACTGATTTTGGAGGTATGGCCTCAGAAGGGTAACAGAGGTAGGAGCTGGAGAGGCTATTGGAAGGAGGACGTGTGTTCTAGCTGGAAAGGGAAGCCTGTGCAAAGGCCTGGAACTAGAGAGAGCCTGTCGCACAGACGGGCTTGCTAACCTAAAATGAAAGGCTTTTCAAAGGGAGAGGCAACCAGTATTTATTGAAATCAATAACCACAGCTTTTCGGGAGGCCCAGCTGATTCAGGCAGCAGCCCAAATAATGTTCCAATTTGAAGACAAAGGCAGTGGCTATTTATGTGAAAGGGACAGGAACAATCACATCAATAGAAGGAACGCGTTTTTATTGGTGCAGATAACATAGTGATGTTAATGTTAAATAACATTTCCAATTTTCAATCCAGTAGTTATCAATTCAGTAGTCATAATAACTGCTTTCTTGTTGTCTTGGCAAACAGTGTTTTGGGACACAGTGTTGCCCTATTCCCAGTCCAATGGTTGTTTTGCCCAGTTTTAACATTCTAAAGATTCAGACATAAGACGAGCAAGACAGTTCCTCTGATGTGGCTGTTCAGCTCCATTTTAAAGTGGCTCTGTTTATGTTAGTGTTTGTAGAGTTTGCGCAGGTCAGTGTATCTTCAGCATGTAGTGTGAGGGGAGTTGTGCCAAGAGACGAGATGGAAGAAATTATCAGGGCCAGGTCACAAAGGGTCCGTGGTAAGAAACTTGGATTTTTGTTTTTTCTGAAGGCAATGGCAAATCATTCAGGGATTTTAATAAGTCCTGTGACATCTTCAAAATAATAGCCACCCTGCAACCATCACTATCATCACTATACTAATTAGCTATACTAATCACTATACTAATTATTGAGTACTTATTAAGTGCCAGGCATTGGAATAAGCACTTTGATGCATTTAATCCTTATGAGAGTTCTATGATTAAAAGCCAGAGCTCTGGAATCAAGATTCCTGAATTTGAATTCTGCCTCTAACACTTACCAGCTTACCTCTCTACACCTTAGTTTCCTTCTCTATAAAAATGACAGGAGTATTGTTATCTACTTCACAGCGTTCTTGTGAGGAGTAAATGAAATAATCTATACAAAATTTCTTAGCACAGTTTCTGCCACATATGAATTTCACACATGATGGATACTGTTCCACTAATGGAGGGGACATCTTCATTTCTAACAGGTCCAGAAATTATTACTCCAACAGCGGTAACACCCACGCCAGGTTTGCTATGTGAGGTATGACTGCGTAATCTCTTCAGCCATTTTGTCCTTTCTTTCTAGCATCTGTTCAAGTGGTTGTATGACTATCCAAACTCTATTAAACTTCTTTCAGTGTGATCTCTAGTCTTTCTTTGCTAAAAGATAATAAGAAATATGCATTATATTTTAATAATTGTATTTTTTAAACTGATTCAGATATTTCTTATTAATTAGATTCTGGCCACACTAAAAAAAAATTCAAATAAGGTCTTAAGTGCAATTCCTTAAAAAGAGTTACCTAGTGTGGGCTTCTCTCTAAGTCAGGCATTCAAAAATATTTATTAAGTCGCTACTGTATTCCAGGCACTGTGAAAGATGGCAAAGATACAATGGTAAACAAAGAAAGATAAGGTCACTGAACTCCAGAGCTTGTAATTGTCTTGGCTAAGACTTGAACAGTTATTTGCTACTTAATCCAAATATAATACAATAATATAATATAATATAATATAATATAATATAATATAATATAAATAATATAATGCAAATATGCCACTTGTTCTGATAAACTAATTATTTATTCAACCAATGTTTATTTAGCACAATTTCTGGCCAGGTGCTGGTCATAGATAAAACAATATAAAAGTAGATAAAAATCCCTGTGTTTATGGAGTTTACATTCTGTTGGAGGCTCTGAGGTAACCAATAAGAAAAATAAATACTAAGTTGTATAAAATGTTAGAGGGTGCTGCTCAGGAGAAAAATAAAACTATTTCCAGTGAGTTGGTCAAAATCCTCACTGATAAGATGACAGGAATAAAAGCTCTGAAGAAATTGAGATAGTGAGCCATGCTGAGAACCAAAAAACAAAAAAAAAACCAAAAACAGGCCCAGCAAAGGCCCTGAGGTGAGAATACCTAAAATATTAAAAGAATAAAAAAATTACAAGAAGGCTATTAATCAAGTAAGGAATAAAATAATAGGAAGTAAATTAGATTATGTAAGACCTTGTAGATGATTGCAAAGACTGTGGCTTTTTTCCTAAATGATGAAATATGACATAGGACATTTTTGAGCAGAGGAATTGTATGCTCTGGTTTACTTCAGGGTTATTTTAGCTACTGTGTTGAGAGCAGGGTGAAAGGAGACAATATAACAAGTTAGGAGGCTGTTGCAAGAATTTAGGCAAGAGATTATGATGGCCTGGACCAGGCGATGGCAGTGGAGACGATGAGAAATGCCTGGATTCTGGATATATCAGTGTTGCCAAAAAATGAGGTGCCAAAAAAAGCATACACATTTCAATTTTCCTTTCTTAAAATGTGTATACATTTTTTTTGCACCCTCTGTATTTTGAATATAGAGGCCACAGAATTTGCTGAAGGATTAGATGTGGGGTATGAGTGAAAGAGCAGAATCAAGGATTGTAAGATTTTTGCCTTGAGCAACTGAAGGATAAAGTTGCATTAATCAGGATGGGGAAATTGTGGGAGGTGAAGGTCTGGAGTGAATGTAACCAAGAGTTCAGTTTTGCCTTGCAAAGATGAGATTTTTTTTTTTTTAGACATAAAAAAGCTGTGGATATACAGACCTTGTGAACATAAAGTTTACTTTAGAGGGTTGTCATTGTGGGAAGAAAATGGGTTAATTAGAACAATGGGGAACATAATAAGTGATAGAAATGTTTATCATTGCTATAATTATTGCCATAATTTAAAATAGAATGCAGTTTATAAACTTTGAAAAATCTACCACTTATTTCATTTTTATTTGTTCATCTATAAGTATGTGAGTTATATATAAAAATTAATTCATAATGATTCCATCCAGCAGTCAAACTGATCTCACATATGAATTTTTAACAAAATATTAGGATAGTATTAAGTTGTAAGTTTTTAAAACTGACCTTAACAGAAGTTGTAATCATACACTAGCTTTGTACAATGTAATATGAAGGTTGACTGCCACTGTATAATAAATCTGCTTATACAACACTAATCTAGACAATTTAAGATAAGACTTTAATTTGCTCAGATGTCTAAGTATGTGGGCAATTCTGATATCAAATCAACATTAAGATAAAACTTAAATTAAGTTCATAATGAGTATTTTAGAAAGGTTACATCAACAAAAAGTTGTAGTGTGATTTTAATTATTTATCATTTAAAAGCTTTTGTGTTTAGGAAATACACACCTTAGACAACTTGAGTGGGAAACTAAAAAAAAAAATACATGCAATGGAATATTGCTCAGCAGTATTGCCAGTTGCAACAACATGGATGGACCTAGAGGGTATTAAGCTAAGTAAAATAAGTCAGACTGAGAAAGAAAAGTACCATATGATCTTAGTTATGTGCAGAATCTGAAAACCAAAACAAACAAACAAAACAAAACAGAAACAGACCCAGAGATACAGAGAGCAAGGTGATGGTTGCCTAAGGGGAGGGGGAGTGGGAAGATGGGTAAATAAAAAAAAAATTTAATTGAAAACATTAGTTGAAAATGAGAAAAAACTCACCAATTTTCTCTTTTTATTAATAGCCTCAACAATTTGATCCTGTTTATAATTGTAGCCAATATATATGCATTGATACGGAATGGAAGTTGTACAACTGGTCTCTTAATTGCCCAAAGGGCTTGGAAATGCCTGACTGTGGTTTCCGGGGAAGACCTGTTCAAGTGAACACTGATATCTGCTGCCCTGAGTGGGAATGTCCTTGTAGGTTTGCATTTCTTCCATGGTAACCAATTTTTGTTTGTTTGTTTGTTTTTTAAATTTTATTGGGGAACAGCCATGGTCATTGGTTACACATTGCTTTCATGCTACAATGGCATAGTTGACTCTTTTAAGGAGGGTGTAGCTCCTAGTGGCCCAGGGATCGAACTGCCTTCCTTGGTGTTATCAGCACCACGCTCTAACCTACTGAGCTAACCGGTCACCCCCAGCTAACTGGTCACCTCTTGGTAACCAATTTTTAATCAGGGGGAGATTGTTCTTTCTTTGAACCAATCACCTCATCAAACCAAAGTTATTGTTGAGCTTTCTTCATTTGATTTATGATTTTAGTTCCTAGTATATAACTTTTTGAATTGCTTCTTGTCAAACATAATAGCTCTAATTTACAATATTTTTTAAAGGAGCAATTATTACTACAAATGCAAATAATTAGTTAATGGGTTAAATTCACTCTCCAATGTTTTTTTCAGGTCGGTGTTCCATGTTGTCAGAACTGAGCATTATTACATTTGATGGCAACAATGCAGCATTATATAGTATGGCTTCTTATATCTTAGTAAGAATTCCTGGGGAAATTGTAGTTGCTCATATTGAAAAATGTTCCATGAATCAGGTAGGTTTTGTCATTTCTTCATAAACCTGTACATGACAACATTAGGGATTCTCAGAGTAAGAAGGGATTCAAAAGCTCACTGAGATTTATCTTCTGGTACTTAAAACCAAAAAATGTTGTATGTACAAAAACTCATAGTCACAGACAATAGTTTAGTGGTTACCATAGGGTAAGGGGGGTGGTGGTAGAAGAGGGTAAAGGGGATCAAATATATGATGATGCAAAGAGAACTGACTTAGTGGTGATCATAAAATGCAATATATAGATGATATATTATAGAAATGTACACTTGAAGCCTATATAATTTTACTAACCAATGTCATCCCAATATTTTTTTTTAAAGATTTTTATTGAGGTATTGGGGGGAAGGGGAACAGACAAGTTGCTATCCTTTTGTTCTTCAGTCTAGTTGTGGAGGACATTGCTTCACTGGCCCAAGTTGGCACCATCATTGCGCTCTTCCCGGGCGAGGCAGATCAGTCGCTGGCTTCTGGACAGCTGCTCACTGCGGCTGCTGGCCGCTCACGCTGGCTGCTGGCTACACACGGTAGCCCATGGCAACCCACTGCAACAGGGGCTGCAGCCTACGCCGTCGCCAGCGACTCAGGGCAGCCCAGCTCCAGGTTGAGCTGTTGTTCAGCATCTTAGCTGTGTAGGGCAGTGTCACTGGCCCTCATATGTGGGATCCTAACTGGGGCCCTCTGGCGTCCCAAGCCAGTTCTTAACCATCACGCCACTCGGCTGGCCTGATCCCAATAATTTTAATAAAAATTTTAAAAAATATTTCATGTAAATATATTTAGAGGCATATAATATTAATCCAGTATTTTTTAAATGTCAAGTAGTACTTTTCTTTTAAAAGTGATTTTTCTTTATACTTTTTTTTTCAGGATGAAAACTCAATTAAAAAGCTAGTGAGTATTTTCAAAGTGTTTAGTAGATTCCTTCTGCTTATTGCTAAAATTATGTTTAACTCCATAAAGTATTAATTTTTTTTTTTTAATTAAGACTTTCTCTGAAAGAAGCTCTGGGCTTTGTTTTAAGAAGTTAAATTTGACAACACCTATACATAAAATACTTGTTGATCGGGCAGCAAGAAAGGTAAGATTACAAAGTTAAAATATATCCTTACATTAGATGAAATTAAGAAATTATATAAACACAATTATTTCCAAAAAGAGGGAAAATTAAACATATCAGTGGAATTTCATTGCTATCATGTCTAATCATTTTTCATGGACAGTCTAAAATGTGTTTCTTAACATTATATTTATCCTTCGATAAGTGCCAACTCTTGCAAATATTTCTCCCCTTGTGAGGTTAACTGTAACCGCCATATTAAATATGCTAAAGCCTTTTTGGATAAGGCGAGTGGCCAAGCTTCTTACTGTCAGAGTTAATGTTAGTGTTTCAAATTAGACAAAATGGAAATGATGTGAAAAAGAGGGATCATAATGTTGAAAAGAGTAGTAGCCACAAATACCAGATGAAGACCACTGAGAGAAGATTAGATGGAAGGAGTATTCCAATATTGATGCCATTAATTTTTCAGTGAATAAATCATAGCCAAAATAAGAATAAATGAAAGAATATTTAACTTTATTAAAATAAACTGAAGAAGAGCAATGCATTATAAAAAAGTTGAAAAGGAACCATTTAGTTTTACAGGAAGAAACTTTATCCCAAGGCATATATATTTACCAGGTAGGACTGAGTTATAAGCTGGATGCTTCACTCCGATCTAGATGGTTCTCTGAAAAATATAAGAAAATAATGTATAAAGATTTTGCTCAAAATGGCTAAGATACTGGGTGCTTTCTGGAAATAATTGCATTAGCACAGATCCATAGATTCTAGGCTAGAAGCAATATTAAAATGGGCCTAAGATATAGTAAGGTACTTATATTAGAAAGTTTGATCTTAAGTAAAACAAAATATATGAAGGAGGTACTTTTTTTGCAAGATAGCATTTGTATATACCTTTGATTTTGATAAGGTTGATATAGCAACAGGAAGTGATTGGGAAATAAACTGCATTTGGGCAGAAGGGTTTATTTTTGGCCTAAGCTGAATTCATCACTGGTCATGTATTCAGTTAAAAACTAATTAATTAAAAAAACAATTTAGTGAGAGTTTACATAATAAAATTACACAGGTCCTGATCTTAAGTAACTTGTAATTGTGTGTAGGGTACATAAATGTAATTATCTGCCCATTAGAAAGTAGCAGGAGGTACAGTGACAGCTATGACAAAAACATCATGAAAATAAAAGGAAGAATCAATTGGTAGAGTTTATAGGAGGGTTAAATAAGTATTTTTGGAAGAGGTGACACCTAAAACGAATCTTAAAGAATGAATAGAAATTAACCAGGCAAGTGGAAGAGTGTTTTAGCCCAAGGGAGGCAGTATGAGGAAGGTGTAAAGACGAGAAAGTGGGTGGTTGGTCAGGTAGAACTTTGGCAAACTTGCTGCTGGTTACAGCTCATGGTTCTGTGTCACTGCCATTATTTAAAGCACTGGTTCTCAAAGTATAATCCTTGGACTGCTTACATTTGTATTACCAAGAAAACACATGCTAAAAATATAGACTCTGGATTTCCATGAAAACCTAGGAAGTAGAGTTGCTGAGAATTCTAATCTTTACCAACCTGGACGCATGATTGTTATAAACATCATTAAACACTGATTTAGAAGATCAGAGAAAGACCTCAGATTAAAGGAAACATCCTGAAAGTAACTTTTATTATCTTACGTTTATATTAGTAGGCAATGGTGTAATCAACACCATTACATAACAGACAAAATGTAAAGTTCTGAAGAAAATAAAGGAAAATGAGGTTAAAACAAATACTGAATATAGAAAGACACAGCAAAGGAACAATAAAAGAGTTTAGAAGTTATGAAAACCTGTGAAAGCAGCAGAGAAACAAATTTTTAAAAACTTAAAAAATAGTTTATATTAAATCAGAAAAAATGGAATAAATTGAATTCTCCAAATTTTAATAAGTGTATATTTAAAAACTCATAGACACAGACTACAGTTTAGTGGTTACCAGAGGGAAAATGGGGAAGGGGTGGTAGATGAGGGTAAAGGGGATCAAATATATGGTGAACACACAAACTATATGCAGAGGGTGTCAAAAAATGTATACACATTTTAAGAAAGGAAAACAGTATTGAAATTTAATACTTAATATATATCAATAACAAAAGATGAATGCAAGTAATGCTTGACTTCTGCAATTACAAAAGATGCTCAAAGTGGTTACCATCAGTGTCCAGACACTTCTGATTACAGCGAACTACTGCTTGAGCAACATTGACCAGTGTCCACTTATATACATTATTTTGGCACCCCTGGTATAGATGATGTATTATAGAAATGTACACTTGAAAGCTATATAATTTTACTAACCAATGTCACCCCATACATTTAATAAATAAACATAATCATGTTTTCTAACAAATGGAAATGCATAATGTAATTTTAGGTCGACGTGGATTCTATTGTTGTGCCTTTGCCCTTTTCCAATCAAGACCTGCTTATAGAGGATTCTGGTACTATGTACGTGATTACGACTCCAGCTGGACTAATCATAAAGTGGGCTCATCTTACAGGAATCTTAGACATTCATTTTGGCCCTCAATTTAACTTGTCTTCCTACACAGAAGGACTTTGTGGTGAGCATTGCTTTTCAAATCTTGATTTCTTCTAACATTTTTTTTGTTTCCTGTTCACATTAAACTGTTTGGCTTCTGTTGCTACACTTTTTTTTTTTTAAGACATTATTGGGGAACTGGGGGAGGGGTACAGCGTTGGGGAATCAGGGAAGGGGAACAGACAAGTTGCTGTCCTTCTGTTCTTCAGTTTTGTTGTGAAGGACGTCGCTTCATTGGCCCATGTTGGTATTATCATTGTGCACTTCCTGGGTGAGGCAGTTGCTTGTCGGCCATTGGACAGCCGCTCACGGCAGCTCCTGGCCAGCCCAACTGCAGCCTATGCCATCACCTGCAACTCATAGCAGCCCAGCTCTAGGTTGAGCTGTTGTTCACCATCTTAGCTGTAGAGGGCAGTGTCACTGGCCCTCATATGTGGGATCCAAACCGGAGCCCTGCTGCTCAGACCAATTGGCATCCCAAGCCAACTCCTAACCAACACACCACTCGGCCGGCCTCTGTAGCCACACTTTTTGATATGAGATGTTAACTTTCAGATCCCTCTGGAATACTGAAGGAAGTAATGGTTTTCAATAAATGGGCTAAGAAGCAAGAAATAACAGTTCATTGTGGGTATTTTATGGAACCATATGCTTACCACTGTTACTATGATACTGTTTGTATCCCTACTAGCTTGTCTTTATTAAGCATTAATGAAGTGTGAGGCATTAGTTTAGATACTTTAACTCATTTAAATCTAACAATAACCCTAATAAATAGGCACTAGTATTAATTTATAAGTGATAAAAATGAGGAATAGAAAGGCTTAAATAACTTTTTTCCTTTTTTTTAAAAGTTTGAAATCTGGGAAAAATTAGTTGTTTAAGCCATCTTGTAAGTTATATACTTACAGGGGACACAATATTCTGAAAATTTATCTCAGGGTCATTATAAAGTGAAAAGCATAGAAAAAATTTACACCTAAGTTTAATATCATAGATATGAAAAGAGTTTTAAGCCAAAGGAAACAAATTAGAAATATATCTATGTACCTAACAAAATAAGAATAATATTGGCTCTGGTGTCTTCCAGAAAGTTAAACAGAGCTATCCCCTTTACAGCTCTGGGCTCACCATAAATTTCTTCAACTTTAAAATGGAAATGGCAATATCTGCCTTCAAGATTGTTAGAATTTTATGTGAAAGTTACTGGAAAAGCACTTCATACATTGCTTAATACACACAGTCAACAAATATTAGTACAAATATATTTTAATCTCACTAAATATTAACTGAATAAAAGTTTATGGATTACCTTCTGAGTCCCTGACACTAACGTTTGGTGTTGACAACTCAAAATGAAAATGAATAGACTAAGTCCTTGCCCTCACAAATTACACAAAACACCCATATTTCTTCTTTAAAAATGTAAAACATGTAATGGAAAGATTGGCTAAAATGGTGTACATAGTTCCTTGCCTATTTAGAGTATGTTACACATAACACAAACTTCAATGGTGACTAAAAGTTATCAATGTGGAAATAGTTAGTATTGGTGTATAGCGCTGATTATAAGCAACTCAATAGTTATTATAGTGTAATAAGTCAGAGACTTTGAAATTGCATGTTTTCTATTATGATTTATCACTTCTGTGTACTATGATTTCTGTTTGATTTTTGTGTTTTGTTTTTTTTCCCCCTCCTTTACTGTTAGCTCATGCTTTAATGGAGATAGACATTCCGCTAACTGGATTCTTAACTAATCACTGTAGAAAAGGGTCTGGGATTACATTTTTGTTAACCAAGGGTCACCCCCAAACTTCATGACCTCCATGGGAGAGGAGTGGCTTGTTAATGAAAACTCTGGGTGCTGTTGAAACTACTACATTGGGTGCTGGGTAATAAAGTTACAGTGAACAAGAGTGTGACTCAAATTGATCATGGACACGAGAATGGGAGGTCTATATTGATACCTTGTTTTACACAGCACTGTGAAGTCTGTGATGAAACCATGTTTTTTACTTATCGATTACCTTTCTCCAGAAGAATTTAGACTTGAAAAAAATAGTAGCTGCTTTATAGTATAGTTCACTTGTTTGGTTTGGTTTTTTTTTGCACTTCATTCCGTCTTCTGTGTATTTATAAGGGTAGGATAACTATGGCAGAAGCAACCTTTATTGGTAATGATTTAAGATTTAATACTTCAATAAAATGTTTAACTCTTACCTTTTATACCTGGGAGCCTTGGGAATTAAGAAAAATTATGTTTTAAAGTAGGGTGGGATTCGAGTAAGTTATGATCAGGGTTCCAGATCCATTTTTCTGGACTTCCCTTGACTCTGCACTCCACTGGATGAAGACTAAGCTTTATCCTCAATCTGACCTACCTCAAGGATGCTAGGCTGTAGCAGATCAAAACATCATAGCCATCAATAGGCCATGCCATCTCAAAGAGGGAAGATTGCTATGTTCTAGAATTCCCAGGTCAAATTCTGAACTTGACTATGGTTGTCCTAACGTTGAACAAATCTAGGTGTCTGGTGACTGCCATGAGCTGATTGGTTTATGCCTGGATTACTTATAACAGTTTTTAAGGCCAGATGTAAGGAATACCTTTATGCCAATCAGGTGTCTCTCCTCGAGTAGTTCATGTACTAGGTGACAAGACAGGGTTAATTCCTGAAAGGAATAACAATGTTTTCAGGCAGAGTTTTCTTGGGGGAGTAGATGCCTGGGAGGCAATCACCAAATGTCCACTATTCTGGAGAATATTTGACAGATTTTAGAACTAGTTATCAAATTAGGCGATGATGGTAAAAGTGGAATAGTGTTAACAGCAGAATCAATCACCTCTTTATCTTCTACGAGCTTTTCATATATCTTGACTTCTAGGATCATGGTTTCTTGCTTATCTGATTGAGACAGTTCTATACTATCTTATCAAAGAATGACACAATTTAAAAAATCCATCAACATTAAAGTCAAAGGACATAAATTTGGCACCTCATTCAGTAAATAATTTATTTTAAATCAATTATTAAGAGGATTTATTTTTGCTGCCTGCGTTTGGTTTAAGTGAAAAATTCTTCCTTCTAAATGTCACATATCTTTCTAGGGATTTGCAATGACGATCCAGATGATGATCTAAGGATGCAAAATGGCACAATTATTACGAATATGGAAGACATTGAATTATTTATTGAGAGCTGGGAAATTGACAAAGCAGTTAAAGTAACAACAAGAAGACCTTTTAGAAATTGTACTGAGTATGACTGCAGTCACTGCATTGAGTTATTAAATAGAAGAATTTTCATTCCATGCCACGATAGAGTAAGTTGAAAGCAACCATAAATAAGAACTGTCATGTTAAACAGGTTAAGATTAAAGCCAATAAATTCCTGTTCTTGCCATGATGTTCTACTGAGAACAGTTTATCCCCAAACCTTCTGTCGGCATGCTTTGGAATTCAGAATCATTTGCGGTTTATAGATACACAGAGACAGGGAGGATAATTATCTTTTTTCTCTCTCTGTTTTCTTCAGAACTGTATCTACAGCTTTCAAGAAAAATGAAATTATATTCTATGAATAAATGCCTCTAGGAGAAAGAGGTCAATGTCACTTGATAACCCAATATAGAAACCAAGGCAGTGAAGGTTTAATTAATTTCCTGTGATCCTGGCCTCTTAGGTGTTTACTTATAATAGAAACTGTCACATATTCAAATTAATTATTCTTTAATATGCTCTAACTTTCTGACTTTAGGTCACTAAGTAGACATTTAAAATAATTAGCATCATTAAAAAAAGATCCATTATTAGAAACAAAGGGCAGATAAATACAGCATTCCATGAATCACTTAATGAAAATTTTGTGAGCATCTAGCCCCTACTAGGCGTTGTGTTAAACTCCTGTGATCCTTGCCCTGAAGGAGTCCTAGTGGGAAGGCAAGCCTGTGAATAGTTACATTGTAAGATACACTATGGAGGTGCCTAGAAACCCAGGTTTGGAAAAGGCTTCCCAGTTTTAGACATTTGAATTACTTAGAAGGATGAGTTTGCCAGAGGAGAAGAGGGAGGAAGGGAGACCTAGGCAAATAAAACAATATATGTAAGAGCAAATTTGGTGTAAATGTCCATTTTAGGAAAACATTGAAAGTTTAGCGCAAGACATGTGGGTAGTTTAAGAGCCCGGGAAGAAGAGTGAGGAATTGTTAAAGCAGGAAGGAGCGCATTGCATGCTAGGTGGTGACGTGCAGACTCCATAGTTCTCAGCCTGCCCTATGACTCCCCTGACCCCAAAGGAAAAGGGTGTGATGTCATGGGACAAAAATGGCATATCTTTCAGGAACTTCAGTTTTATTTATAAATTTCAATGCAAATAAGTTGTAAATGTTTACATTTTTTTAATGCATGCACATAAAAATGAAAAATAGCGCATACTTTTAAACCAATTTTAGTGCCATTTTGAGCTGTCTTTTAAAAGCACAATGATGATTGCATTTTTAACTGGGAACTTAAATTAGAAAAAATTTTCAACTTGACTGTGAAAGGCATAGTGAGGCAATGCAGGATACCATTTAGTTGGTGATAGCTTCAGATTTTTCGCTTAGGATTTTCCCAGTGAATTTGGTTACAAATGAAAGGGATGCTTAACTTGCTACTCTTTGATTCTCCAAATAGTTTTAGTCTGGCTTAGTTAGAGTCTTTAGAGCAACTGAAACAACACAACTTATCCCAAGCCAAAATATACCTCTCTAGGTTTCACCACAGAACTTTTGTGAAAAGATGTGGATTAATTTTACCAATTTTGGGAACTCTGAATGTGACGCACTTTCTGCATATGTGGCTCTGTGCAACAAGTTTGACATCTGTATTCAGTGGAGGACACCTGATTACTGCGGTAAGTAGTACACTTCAAATGATATTTTCCAGTAACTGAATAACATTCCGTTTTTTTGCTTCTTTCTTTTTCTTTGCATTTTTCATCATAAAATAATTTTGTAAGAATAAAATGCGTATAAATCTAACCTAGAAGTTAGAGGTGAGCTCTCTCACATAGGATACTTCTATTTTCATCCTGTTCTCAATTTAAAATAGGCCTCAATTCTCCTAAATGTAAACCTAGTCCACAAAATATTAGGTAGCAAAGTAGATTGCAGTATTGAAGAAATCACAGGGGATTGAGGAGAGATTTTAATTTCGTTTCCTACAGAACCTGTTGTTGATTCCATATAACCTGCCTCATTTCCCCCAACTCGCTCTTACGCATTTATTATGGAAAGGATGAAGAT